TATGTGAGATGAGGCCCTGCTGGTTTCACCACCTGTCCAGGCACCACGTAATATTGGGTTTTAGTGTTAGACCTTTCCACCACCGTGCAGTTTTCCATTCAAGTATTTTCTTTCTCAACTGAGACATGTCATCAGAGGGTCTGGCCTCTGCTCCCCAGCCACACAGCCTCCTCTACTCCACCACGTATCTTCATTCCAAATGACATCTCAAGGACCGACTTGCCACATCCCCAAACTTAAACTTCTCCGACTCAGAGAGTTTGCACTCCAGTGCTTCCAATGAGAACTCCTCCCGAATCACCCACTGTTTTTTCCCCCCGTAAGTATAGAAGATGTCTCACAATCCTCCTTACATGATTGTAGCTCCTGCCTAGCAAAGCATAGATGAGCAGACACTGGGTCTTTATCTTAGCCTTCCCAGTGCTAGCCCAGAGCCTCTCAAACACCAGGTGCTCAATTACAAATGGGAAATTGAAGAGAAAGGGTGCAAGATCTTGATCTTGTGAGGATTTACTATCTCCTACATTCTTTAATGAGCTAAGCATGTCCAGGTGGTAAACAAATTACACAAAACAAAAGACTGTAAGGAGAAACAATAATCAGGTTGATGATGTTATATATTTTTTCTATTCCATTATCCTGAAAATTTTACTATGGGGTTCTTTCACATTTCCACAAAATTCCCTTTTATGATGTCACAGGTATTTTTTATGACTATTAACTGCCATCAGATTTTTCTAGGAGTGTAGATGATGATGGTTGTGGTCAGGGGATAATTCCTGCCTAGGGTACTACTGCCAGCCCTGGCTGCACCTCTGGCTTGTGCTCTTTCTCCCTCCTCTCTCAAAGCTTGTTCCTAGTGTGATGAGAAGGCACATGGAACTGTACTGCTGAGCTTAGCCAAAATTTCCAGGATTTTCATCTTGGTCGTTTCGGCATAAGCTCCAGGGCCGCACAGGAACTCCTAGCATAGTGGATCACTCTCAGGCACCTGGTGGTACTCCAGGTACTTGAGCCTCACTAAATCGTTGGTGATGAGCTTTCTAGGTTCCCCATAAATGAAGTGCTTCTTCCCACCATATACCGCATGGTGTTCAGGAATTCCCAGATCTCCTCCTCTGCCATGTGGTTCCCGTTCGGGAAAGTTAGGCCCAAGAAACTCATTAGGAGACCGGCCTGGGGTAACCCCCCTCCATGATGCACTCCCCCATTATTGAAGAGTTTCACTTTGCTGACAAGGGCATAGGAGGGTTGGGTTGAGTCCATTCCCATCAATTCCACTGCAAAAAGAGCCTTCGTAATGTCAGAGCCTCAATGATGTCACAGCAAATTGGCTGTGGTGCTTTTCATTGACCATCTTTAGCATGTCTCCTTTCAGAATGGGTCGTTTGATTTCGTACGTCTATAGAAGAAGACGCTGTAACACTCTCACACTCACATTCAAGGAATCTCTGCATGAGCACTTACAAAGTGAATCCTCAGAGGAACATGAGAGTTCCTCATCGGGGCTGTTCACAGACCCCGTGTAAACAGCACCCGAAAAGGTGCTGGTGGTATTTAGAGATCTCCAAGATGCCCGGGAAGTGCTAGTTGCCTCAGTAGCCGATGAGCTCAGAGACCGGCAGTCTCTGAGTATGAGGAGTCTTTCATTGCACATTCAGGGGCATCATCATTCAACTGTTGGCATGTCATGGCACTCACAAGAAACAGGGGAACAGGTCCTCAGCCTATCTTCCCTGTCCAGGTACCCCGAGTGCAGACTGCTCAGTGGGAGTTATCTGTACTAGTCTCTGTGGGATACTCAGTCCTCATTAAGGGTCCTTATTTGCCTTCACACTAGGTCTTGTGTTCCCATCTCTTCAGCTGAGTAGTGGCCGCAGTTTCAAAGGATGTATGTGAATTACCATAGACAAAATAAAACTAAGTGTCGGGGGAGCATCAGTTTGGTAGCCATGTGGTAAGTCATCAATGGCTGAAACCAGGGCTAAGGTTCAATTTTTGTTTCGGGGTGGATGGACTCTCAGTCCTTGATTTGTCCCTTGATTTGCCATGTTCAATAATTCCTCTGTGGCCCATAGGCCGGCCCCTCCTACTAAGGCCACCCCACCCTGACACCCCTAGAAAGAAGTGAGGATCCCCTCCTATGACCATACGTCTCCTTGGGTTCCTCAGGCCAAGTAAAATGACTTCGATGGTGTATTCATTGTGGTGGGTGTGTGGTTCCCTCAGTCCTCCTCGTACTCACCTTGGCCTCTGGGAAGCCTAGAAACCTCCCACTCCTAGCCTCAGGCAATAGCCCTTACCCTATGACCCTCACCCCCTGGTGACCTCAAAGGAGGCAGTATGTCTCATCATGTCAACAATGCCCAGGTATCCCAGGGCAGCCAGGGAGGGTGGATTACTGTGTGGCCCTCTCAGTTCTGGGATTGGAGGTTCCCTAAGTCCACACTCAGGGTCTTCACCCTGAGTCCTGGAAGAGCCTGGGACTCTTTTCTTCACTTACTTGAAGTCCCCAAATTCAGACCAAGGCCCTCATATCTCTGTCACACTTTTTACACAGCCAGTCTGACTGTCCTGCCCAGGGAATCCCAGTGGTGATGGCTTAGGCAGTCTCCATGTCACTGCATGGTTCTAGGATCTGCATTCCCCCAGCTGTCATTCAGGGCTCCACCTTTCTTCCTGGAAGGACCTGGGATGCCTCCTTTTGCTGTCCTAGTTCTCTCAGCACTTGAACACAGTCTCTCCCACTCTTTATTTGGCCCTCCCATGTATTTTGTCACGTTATTGCTTATTCTCTGGCCTATCATTCCATATCAATATTGTGAATATAAAGTCTAGGTCTTTAAAACCTGAAATACATTTTGGAGCATTACTACAAAAACGAATTAAGTGACATGAGCTGTGATCAGACTCGGTGGAGTGGTTCAGCAGGGACTCTAGAGGAATTCAGAGCCAGGATCGAGTCCAGCTCTGTCACTGTTCAGGATAGAATGTCAGACTCTTCCGAGCATTTTTTTCCACAAAGTGAGTGAGTCTGATAGTCTGCTGTGAAGGACTATGGGCATTCATTTGTGTTCAAGTTAAACCACCTGGCACAGTGTTAGGCTATGTTTGGTCCTTTTAAATGCATGGCCATTATTACTAAGATGATTTTTGACTCTGGATAATAAAAGCCTTCCCTCACAGAATATTATTTCTGTCCTCTATGGGAGAATATGCAACTGTATACAATAAGGACATCGCATTAGCCTAAGTGTTGCTAAGCAAGTAGAATGAAGTGGGGGTTTCCCCATCAGAGCAACAGTTATTAACATGTGTGGGATGGTCTTCTCTAGAGGGGTGCAACTCAGCGTTCTTATGTCTCAGGACTACAAACTTCTCTCCAAGGTGCCTTCTCACACCAACCACCCCTCATTTTATTAATTTCATCCTCCCTGGAAATAGAGCCAGCCTTAGAATTTGGCTAATTACATGCAAAGACCTTAAGCAAAATGCCGTTTTCATGAAGTGAGCTCTGCCTCTCTCCACCCGTAAGAAGAGACACTTCTCCGGTGGCTTCTTGGCATCTCACTTCAAGGGACTATCACCCTTATAACTCAGAAACACTCTGGACACATTCAGCCAAAACTGCCTAGTTCATGCACTGTATTCACCTGCTCTGGGGCAAGTACAAAGGACCCCTTTCGGTGTGGCCCCAGCTGGAGATCCTTCTGTCCTTCTGTGGTTTTCCCTCACCCCAAACCAATGTTTAGGATCTGTTTCCCATCCCAGGCTTAATCTCTCAACCTGAGACCCATCATGTGGGGGATTGGCCCATACTGTGCACTCAACAGCATCGTGAAGCCATTCATGCAGCCCAAGTGAACATTACCCGTCTCCCCCAACCCCAGGGACTGGCAGTTTCCCAAGGCCCAACACTGCCTTGATCACGTGATGGGCAATGATGTGCTGTCTTCAGCAACCCACTTCTCCTCACCGCTTCCATGTCATTGTCATTTACTCGTTTCTCACAATGCATGCCACCATCCTCCCTATGAGACCAACGCTGCTGCAAGAATCTAACTTCTATGGGCAGCAGCTTGGTCTGCTTTTCTCACCATCGCCAGAACCATTAGAGGGTTCCAAAGAACAGTTGGTCAATTAATGCTAGAGGGGAAAACACAAGACAGGAGCAAGAAACCAAATTTATTACAATTTAATTTCTCATGCAGTTTGAAGAATTAAGCAAATCCAGGTATATGCCATTTAATTTTACAAGGAAAGATCAAAGAGAATAAAGCAAACTAAGAATTGACCAGCCCTTACTTTTGTTTCACCATTGTGTGATCTCCAATATTTTCCTGTAAGATTTTGCACATTTGCACACAAAATCCTATCCTATTCTGCATTAATTTGCTCTGTAGCAAAAAAGAAATGTAGAAGGCTTTTGTATCGGTTTGCACAAAACAAAACTCTTGATCTTAAAGCTCGGCTGTAATAAATGTGGCATCCAAGACATTAATACTCTTAGATTCTTAAGCAAAGAAACTTTCAATGAGAAAGAACATTTGAAAATACATATACACCTAAAAAGCACTCATCTATAGAAGACAAAGGAACCAAACAGGGTAAATATTTTGTGCCCTACAGAGCCCACTACGCTTTACTAACTAGAAGGTTGATTGACTGCTCTCTGCAAACTCAAGGTGACACGCCTGCCCCACACCTCCCTAGATGTGTGAGGAGCTTGTCTACTTGGCCCTGCAAGGGGCACTGCCCTTCTCAAAAGTGGCAACCGTGGCTACAGCTGTGAGCCATGCTCTGTCTTCCTCATGTCTCAGTGCTTCTCTAAACAGGCTGGGGGAAGGCAGTGGGGGACGGTTCCATTGAGCTTGGCCCAAAGCTCCAGGGCTTCCATCTTCTTGACCTCAACGTGGGCTCTTGGGCCCCACAGAAACACGTAGCGTGGAGGATCGCTGCCGGGCACCTGGTGGTACTCCAGGTAATTTCGCTCCACCAGCTCATTGGTGATGAACTCCTGGGCTCCCGATGATGATGTGCGTCTTCCCAGGATGGACCCCCAACACATCGAGGAACTCCCAGATCTCCTCCTCAGTGGCTTGGTCACCCTTCACGAAGATCACCCCCAGGACAGCGCGGAGGAGCCCGGTTTTGGGCACCACCTCTTCGCTGCCCAGGTCTCCCTCAATCGGGAGGCCCAGGTTGTTGACAAAGGCATAGGTGTGACTGTTGGGGTTGACTGGCTTCAGCTCAAGGCCAAAGAGCAGCTCCAGGTGCTCACAGGCTCTCCGGAGGATCTCGGGGTATTGCTCCTTGTACTTTCTGTTGACGATCCTCAGCAGTGCGGCCTGTGTGATGGGCTCCTTCCTTTTAAGCTTCTCCAGCAGGAACTGCACCAGCCTGCACACCTTCCTGTTGAGAGGATCTCTGCGAGCCCTCCGTTTGAAGAGTGCAGCCCTGGAGGCTCTTGTACTTTTCTCAACTTGGCTCTTGGCAGCTTCATTAAATCTTGAGCATGACACACCTTCTTCAGGAGAGCTAGTGGCCGAGGCTCCCTGAGGCTCCTGGGATGGACCAGGAGCAGGGGAGCTTGTGGGAGACTCCCCAGAAAGACAAGAGGCAGGGGACTCTTCAACCTCTGCTGCAGTGGCCTGAGCACCCTGGAGATTCTGAGACTCACTTCGAGGCTGCAGGCGTTTCTCACGGGCAAGGAGCTTACTCTTCTGCCCCCGAGGCATGATGACAATGGTCAGGGCCAGCAGGCACCACTGTGCGCAAGAAAGTAGGTGATGTCTGCACCTGAGGGAGGGAGAGTGAGTTGGTGTGTGCCCCTCCACCTTGGGTTGAACCAAGGCCACCCCTGCAGGGCCTGAGGGCAGTCAGTGCTCAGGGAACCCCCCAGGGCTCCTGTCCTGATCAGCCTGTCCCCCGAGGGGCTCTACAAGGGGAGTTAGCCTGAGCCTTAGGCCAGAGCCATAGAGTCCTCCCTGGGTGCTTCTTGGGTGAGTACAGGGGCTGGCAGGGGTTATATGTGTCCTTGGCTTTGGGGTGCTTTCAGGTCACATTCATGGTCATCGAGTTAATTATTTGCAAGACCCAAGTCCCACTCCCAGCTGTTGCTAGGAATTTGACACTTCACACCTCTGCCATGCCACAAGAATGAAGTGATACGGTGTTGCTGGCACAGAACACCTAGAACGGATTCTGCCCCTCTGGAGCCCCCCCTCTGCCCTGGGCTTTTTAGGGTCCCCAGTCCTCATTCACACTTCTCACATGGTGGCTGGCAGAGCCCCAGAGACCTCCTTACTACTGACTGCTGGCTCTACCTTCATCACACCTTCAGGGTAGATCTTCCCTCAGTCCCCACTCAGTTTCCCTGGCTGGCACTGCTAGAGCCAGGGCCTCCCCCGTCTCTGCACTCGAGTCCTATGTCACACTAAAGTGGGCACCCAGCCAAGAGCCAGGGGAGGAACTGAGATCGGCCTTGCCTGGGTGCATTTGCCTGGCTTCCCCCAAATGAATGAAACACCATCACATGGATCCCCCTTGTGAATGCTCCCATAGGGCCTCACTCCAACCCCGTCTGACTCCCTGGATGGGCATGTAAGGTTGCTCCCACTGTTGAGTGGTGATCCCACCTCTCAGGTGAAGGCTGACCCTTCTGATCCCTGAGCGGGATTTAAGGCTGCCTTCTGTCAGACAATTGCCTGACAAATGCCCCTCCTTGACTGGCAGCAGATAAGGATTCAGAGGTGCTGTCCGCGTTATGGGCTCAGTGGTCCACGTATCATCATGCACCTCACCCTGAATCCTCCCATGACCTGGACATGACCTCTCTGGTCACCTGCTGCCAACCCTTAGACCAGGGCCCCCCCACCTCCCTGACTCACCCGAGGACAAAGGCAGAAAGCACCCCAGTCGTTAGACCTGCCTGGACCCTCCCAAGCCCATGCCAGGACGAGGGCCATGTACGCCCCCATTCTGGGCTGTACAGGTACACCTCCTGCCTCACAAAGGCCCTCTGAAGGGTCTGAGATTTCCTCGCCAGCTCGAGCTGAGCCATTGTCCACCACCCTTGGGCCGAGGCCTTTATTCGCTGGGAACCCGGGAGGGACGCAAGGCACTGTGGGCCCAACTGCCACTTTGGGGCCTGCAGGGCAGAGAGCAGGGGCAGGGTGGGCTCTGCGGCCACCACTTTTCAGTGGGGAAGGGGACTGGAGTTGTCAGCGACGCGTCCCCACAGACCCCACTCACGACATCGCGCACCTCGTCACTGACAAGATGTGGGATTCCTCCCTCGGGTCACCTTGGACAGCAGCTGTCTGACACGGCCTCGATTTCGAGCAGCGTGTTTCGTGTTTCGTGCGAAGTCAGGCCAGCCACTTCCGGTCACGCAGGTGGCTCATCCGGAAGGAGGTGTGCATTCGCGGCGGCGAGCATCCTACAGGGCGTGCGCACAGGGGACTTTCATCGGTTTTGGGGTTTTTTGGGGGTTTTTTTGTTGTTGTGCAGGTCCTGGGACTTTACCCCCTGCTGAGCAGAGTCAACGGGCTTCGGACCAAGGCTGTCATCTACCTCAGAACCCCAGTGGGAAGTATCTGGGGGGCTGAGCTTAGCAGCCATGCCTGGCGCCTCCCAAGACGGACACTAATGGTTGCTTCCGTCCATCCTCTCTCAGTGTCTTCCCTGGGCTCCTGGTAGGTGCTGGGCTACCTCTCCTATGCTTCCCTGGGTTCAGCCCCTCCTATCAAGTCCTCAACTTCCCGACACCCCTACTCAGTGTACAGGGACGTCTCATCTGGCCAGCTCTGCCTGTGGCTGCCCAGACATGGCGGCAGGGCGTGAGAATCCAGTAGGGTCCAGTGTACTGGGTGCGCCGCTTGCCCTGAGTTCTAGCAGGCCTGCAGTTCCTCCCTTTGGTAACTCAAAGCCTTCCTTTCCTGACCAAGTCCCTCAAGAGCCCCGTGGCGAAACGGGGATGCTCCTTCGCCCTGCTGCTGTTCCTGGGACCTCTTTTAGCCAATGCCAGTGTCATTGCTAATGTTTCTAATAGAGTTTCTCTCCACAATGCAATTACTGTGCTATTTGGTATTATCTTTCTTTTTTTTTATTTTGTACAAAAGATTATCTGTATGTTACCAAATGTGATGCTTTGATATATGCAGGCTTTGTGAAATAATTACTACAATCATATTATTTAACATATAACTGCCTCCCATAGTTACCAATTTTTTCTTTGTCGTGAAAAATTCTGCTATTTTTAACAACACTAAGGAAACTAAAATAATAGCATGTTAAGTTAGATAAGGCCAGCACAGAGAAATAAATATTCCATTATATCTTGTATGTGGAATATTTTTTAAAAAGTCAAGTTCATTGTTTTAGAGAGGGAATGGTGGTTACCAGAGGCAGGAAGGGTGTAGTGGTGAAGGAAAAGTAGAGATATTGATCAAAGGGTACAAACTTCCCTTTGCAACGTGAAGTACTTCTGGAAACCTGCAAAGCATAGTGACAGTAGTTAATAATAATATATTGTATACTTTAAGTTTGCTAAGGCAGTAGATGTCAAATGTTCTCACTATTCTATTTTCACTCATGCCCTATATTTTATTAAGATGACTATTTTTAAAAGCCCAGTCCTCACCAACAAAAAGGTTTCAGGTGGTTATTAGGACAATCTCTGGACTCATACTACTTTAACATGTCCAAAATTCAGGCTGTCTTGATATTACCCCATGATCCTGGCACACAGACTCTGAGGTGCTGTCTCAAGTTCCTTCAGTGAAGTAGTAAAAATTCATTGTTCCAGGACACACTGGAAGAACGAAAGGTAGAACTTTAAAAACCTTTTCTCCAGCCAATCTTGTCTTCTATAGACCTGTCTCAATTTCAGGGCATACTCCCAACCATTCCCACACAAGTACTAGTTCAATACAGACTTTAGTGCCCCTCAGCAGTTCCTTATTAATTTTTTACTGTTATTGTTGATATTGTTTTGTTTATTCTTTCTCCAGGGTACTTTTTCCAGGGTGGTTGATTTTTTTCATAAGAAATAGCAGCTTAAGTTTAGTTGTCATCTTGGTAGCTATGGGTAAGGCACTAAATCTGTAAATAATGTAAGAATTGACATGTTTAAAACATTCTGTTTCCCTGAGTAAACATATTACACTGCTGTATTTAGGATTTTTTCCCTCTAACTCTATCAGTAAATTTTTATTGTTTCCTCCATAAAGACCCTGTAGAGCTCTGTAAGGTTTCGTTTTCGGTACCTTTCAGATACTGTTCCAGTTTTGACTGGTATATTGTTCTTTACATATTCTAATTACTTATTGACTATGTGTGACCAGACTTCTGATTTTGCTATAGTGATTTTCTATATACTAGATTTTTGATGTTTCTGATATATTTGAATATTGTGTTTGCTTATTAGTTTAGATATTTTAATTATAGGGTCACATAAGTACTATTATGTTTCTTTTAGTTATTCGTACCTTTTATTTATTTATTTTTAAATATATTGTATTGATTATGCTGTTACAGTTGTCCCATTCTTTCTCCCCTTTATTTCCCTCCACCTGACCCCCTCTCCCACCAGCATTCATGCCTTTTATTTATTTTATTATTCTTGCATTTGGCTGTGTCCTGCCATACATTCACCTCCAGGTCTGTGGCATCATACCTTTGTGTGTTTTTCCAGATTCATTTGGAAACAGCTGTGATATGTCACACTTATGTATATTTGCTAATGATTTTATGATATGAAAATTTCATTCATATAACTTTGTTAAGTTATTACCATGGATTTTTGCTGAGTTTTTATCAAAAACTTTTTCTTTATTCTTACATGATCAAATGCTATTTCTCTCATATTTGTTATTGTAGAGAATCTTGATTCATTTTTTTCTAAAGTGATATAATCTTTGCATTCCTTTGATACAGCCTATTTCTTTACTAATTCACCACTGTATTTCATATGCTGTACAGTTAAGATATTTGTGTCTTATAATGAGTGAGCTTGCCTCAAATGATCTTTTTATCTGGTCTTTATATTGAGGAGAGCTAGCCCATTTTAATGGATGAGTCATTTCCCATTTTTTGTATGATTTGGAAGAGTTTATATAAACTTTTGATTTGTTTCTCCTTCATCTCCAAACTTGGTCTGGGAATATTTTGAGGGTTCCTTGGATTTTAACTACAATTTTAGCTTTCTATTATTATATTAAGTTTTCCATTTCTTTATGGATCTATTTAATCATTTATATTTTGCTAAAATATTCCAGTTCAATTGGGTTTTTAAATTTATAAGAATGCTATTTATAATAAAATAATGTTATCTTTGAAATTCTCAAACATATAAAACAGTAGATAGAATAATGAACCCAATATAACTGACAGTCAGCATCAATGATCCTTAATATTAATAGGAAGAAACATAAACAGATGAAAGTTTGCATATTTCTTTGTTTATTGGTAACACAACTCCATAGGGAGCACTGTGCACTTCCATTAAGATATTCATGATGTCTGCTATCATCTTTATGTTGATGTTGAAAGACATTGAGGACCATTGCCCTAATCCATTTATCCATTTAGAGGGATGCAGAATGGTAATTTTATCATTTGTTTGTGTTTATTAGCTAAAATAATTCTCTAGGTTGGATATTTTCCTTATCCACCATTTGTTATATTGATGCAATGGTAAAGTATTTATAGTATTCACTTGTGACCTTTATTTTCT